GTGAATAGACACTTCGATAATGTTTATGAAAAAAAATTCTGTCTCTGTCGAATAGTGAGAGGCGGGCACCTACCAATCGTTCGGCGGGCGCCCGCGGGCACGGGGTTGGGAACCCCTGATTTATAGTATAGTATAGTTAAGTAGGCTATAGAGTATAGGGGCCTATCAAATAATTTGTTGTGATTTGTCTGATCTAGAATCTAGATCTAGATGATAATTCAATTGATATTTGACAAATATCAATTGAATTAATATTATCATCTAGATTCTATTTCTAGATCAGACAATTCACAACAAATATTTAATATGACCCAAAGGCTCAAAATGACTTATCAATTTCTGGATTTTCGATCTAGATCTATAGATCTAGAGTCTATAGAGACTCTAGTAACTAGTGGTAGAGGGGTCTTAGAATTTTACTTAAGTTTGAGTCTAGAATCTAGATCTATGATCTAGTTTTACCGAAGTTTAGAATCTTTCTTAGGCAGTTAGGCTAGACCTAGATTCTTAACCTGGGTTCAATTGAACCCCAAGGGTTTGGTGAGTTAGTCTTAGGCGCATAGCTTAGCCTCTTAGTCTTAACTAGGCCACTTAGGGGTTTGGTTGTGGTCAATGCACACCCTGTTCGTGGTCGGATTTGTCAGTGCTGATGGTAGAACTATATTCAGGAAGTGAAAGATTTAGTGAATGGGTGTATGAAATTGGCTTGGTTGGGTACCTCCAAAAAGGTTAAGTTTGAAGGCTATTTACAGTTAACTTCAAATAGACACTCTCTTTTAATTTATTGTATTAGGTCCTATAATCAATTTAAAAGGACATTAACCTACATGGCCTAAATAAAAGTAGAATGGTAATTGGTATCCATTGAAATAGATTTGCAATCTGTGAAGTGATTGTATGCAATTTCTCCTTTCGGCATGACTCTCTAGTCTTTATCATTTTATATCTTTGTATTTAGGGAAATTTTTAAAAAGTTATTGCCCATCACTTAGATCTAGTGTATTTATGAAAATATTTCTATGATTCTATTTTTCAGTTTGCTGCAGAATTTCGGAGGTATTCAATGGAGACAAGCGAGTTGACGAGATTCCTTCCATAGTGTTGTTGACATGGAATAAAAACGTGCTTTTTAGATTTAGACCGTAAAAAAAAAAAAAAAAAAAAAAAAACTTAAGCCTAAGGTAATCCCTTAGTTTAGCGTCGGTTATTATTCCGGAATCGTACAGCAGTAAAAAACAGTAAAACAATGCCAAGTCTGTCACACACTTCTGGAATTCACCGGAAGTACTGTAAACCATACTTTATTTGGCGTCATCTTTTATTTTTATACAGAATGTTTAAAATTTGGATAGATTTATTTTTGTAATCATTTTTACATTTTGTAATCATTTTTACTATTTTCGTAATCTAGATTTTTTTACTTGGCCTAGCAGCTAGATATCTAGCTAGATCTAGATCTAATTAATTAATGGTAGCAAATCCGCTGCAAGCAAAAAAACATTAAATTATTTATATTAGCCTACATTTGACTTCATTATTTATATTAATAGGTATATGTTTTTTTTATTTTTAGATCTACTAATTTAAATCTACTATTATATTTATTCTTGTTTCCTTTTGTCGATTAAACTTAAAAAATTAAAACATTAATTTACTACAATCGACTTTCAATTTATTTATATTTCAATGGTCAAATAAACCATGGTTTACTGTAACTCTAGTTACCGAGACTCAACAAACATTACCCGATAATTTCCGACGCTAAACTAAGGGATTACCTTACAATGTTTCAAAGTTTCATTCATGTGCCTGTTTTTAAACAATTGTATTAAAACTTTTCAGTAATAAAGACTAGCGATGTTTTCATAAGATGCAACAATGCTCATTAACTTTCTCTTTAGCAGCCATCTTGTTTGAGATTTTTCAGGCTCAGAGATTCAGGGGAAGCCACTCTATTTTACGGGTGTTGGGAAATTGCGAGACGCGTAAAGCCTATATAGCCCTCTCTCTTCTTCGCAATCGCATTAAAAAAAAACCGGGAGTGATCTCCCCTAAACTTTCTCGAATATCTATATATATAATTCAATTCTGGGAGCCGTTAGAAAACAAGCTGCAAACGCTCTCCCTACCTCCCCACCCCTACATGGTTTTAGTGAGCTGTGTTCACTCTAATTGTTTACAAGCAGAGCCAACGATTTTAAAGGTAGGGGGGGGGAGGGGGGAAGGAAAAGGGGGGGGGGGTTATGATCTTTAACGAGCTACTTATAGTGTTTTAAAGAAATATTTTCAGTGTCAGCGTTGGTACTGCCGAATTCACAAATTATGAATTATTGAAAATTAGAAACAACTAAATAGCGGCGTATGTTATGCCGCGGGCCGGCTCGTTCTAATATAAAATAACAGGGGATGGGAACTCGGGCTATAGACATGATTTTTAATCCATTTTAAATACTTAAAGTTTTAAAAAATAGAATAAAATCTCGTAGACAAATTAATTGCACACCAAGTGAACGTAAAATAAAAAAGCGCATAATAGTGCGCAATATTATTAGTACTTTTAAAATTTACATTAGTTTTTTGAGAAATCGGAAGTAGCGTAAAGTACTACTTCCAGTCAACGGAAATTACTCAATATATAACAGAAGGTAGAGAATTAGATCTTTTACTTACATGTGAAATTTCATTTATCTATCTGAAATAGTACTCAAGTTATAGGCTTTTGAAAAATTCAAAGTAGGAAAAGTACCACTTCCGGTTATCGGAAATCGCTCAAAAGTTGATACGGATCTACGATTTTGATAAAATACTTATATATGAAATTTCATCAACCTAGCTGTAACGGTACTCAAGTTATCGTGTTTACACACGGACAGACAGACAGACACACAGACAGACACACAGACATACGGACAAGATTGCAAAATTATGTTTTTCCGTAACAGTGAGGTGTAAAACGTCGAGATTTGTAAAAATCTCGATTTTTTTTTTTTGCACGATTACAAGACTTTCTCTATACTTCGTATATACGAGAAAGTAAAAATTGCTAATGTGGTCGGGGTCAGTATCGTACGCAGGGGGGGGGGAGGGGGCAGGAGGAGCGGCCGCTCCCCCTCTGGCCATTTTCAGCAAAGTGGAGCCTTTTTGGAAACTTTTTATACTCAAAGTTTTAAACAATGATTTTTGTTAAAAAAATATTTTTGGTCGGCACATCTATGTGTGAGCGGCTGGAGTGTATTTTTATTATTTGTAACTTAGAAGGCGAATGTATCGTTTCGTTTCATGTCGTAAATTGTTCGTCGTTTTAGTTGTGTTGTCCCGTATTATGGCGCCGCTGTCTCACTGTTTATGTCCCTGGTTATAGCTAGTTTATATATATTTCCTTTATATTGTTGTCATTGTTTATATTAAGTGTCTTTTTATAATATTCTGTTGCATGTTTCGTCGTGTTTGGTTTGTTACCCGTGAATTAGGGACTATTTGTTTACGAGTAGTGTGTGGAAGTCGGTTTCCGGCTTGTTCAACTCTGTCTTTTGTGTGGAAGGCCGCGGTGAAGAGAGCAGGCAGTCTCTCTGGTCATCCAGTGAAAAGAATAGCAAATTCGCACCATCCAGCCTTATTTATTTTGTGTTTGTGTTCGTCGTAGTCCTGGTAAGTTAGATATAAGTTTATTTCTTTGCTATGTTTATTTTTTTGCTATGCTGTTTATTTTGGTTACTGGCCATAAGATTTTTGTGATTGTTTCCTGACCGCCATTGTGGTCAGGCCATGTGGACTCAGATTCTGAGTTTTTATGGTCATTTTATTACTTTGTTGTATCTCTTGGGCTTGTGTGAAGCCAAGGATACTGCTTATTTATACTTGGCCCACAGTTATGGTTTACTCCTGGCTGTTGGGTTAAGTGGTATACGTATTCTATTGATTGTATCCCTTGGGCTGGTGTTAAGCCAGGGATAGAGGTAATTTTAGACTTGACCCGCAGCTATGGTTTACTCCTGGCTGTTGGGTTAAGTAGTAGAGTTGTTGTTACCTGACCCACAGTCACGGTTCGTTCCGGACTGTCGGGTTTGGTTATAATATTGTTATCTTTATAGTGACCTTTCGCTTCCTGTGGTGATCATGTTGATCCCCAGGAGAGTGTTCGGTTCGTTCTAGTCACTGTGAAGGTACACTTGTTGTAATAGATTTTATTTTACTTAGCCTTGTGTTAGGCTGGTAACTGTGTTGAGCTAGTAGTTTGAGCTCAGTGTCCTGGTAGTGTTCCAGTTAATTGTTAAAGTATGTTCTGTGTGAACTACCTGCAGGCGGTGGGGATGTAATCCAGCCAGCCTGTGGTTAATGCTTTGTTTATAACTTGTCTTTGTAAAGTAATTAATTTATTTGTTTTCCTTTTTCTAGGACGAAGTCCGAAATTGGGTGTTTTGTTTGATGTAAAAAGTTTGTTTTGTTTGGTTCTGTTTTGTGTCAGTTTTATCGATTCTTTTTTTATAACTTTTGGTTCCATATTTTGTTGAATAAATCTATATTAGTCATTCTTGATAAATAAATTTTATTAACTGTAAAAGTTTTTGTTTTATTTTAGTAGCTTATTATTTAGACTAAGGTTAGGTTTAACCACTGTGGGTGCTACCACGGTTGCACCAAACACGACGAAACATGCAACAGAATATTATAAAAAGACACTTAATATAAACAATGACAACAATATAAAGGAAATATATATAAACTAGCTATAACCAGGGACATAAACAGTGAGACAGCGGCGCCATAATACGGGACAACACAACTAAAACGACGAACAATTTACAACATGAAACGAAACGATACAGAAACGATACATTCGCCTTCTAAGTTACAAATAATAAAAATACACTCCAGCCGCTCACACATATATTAATTAACACAAAATTTAAATACGACTAAGCATACATCATTCTAAAATAAGATATAACATTTTAAACTATAACTATTGTAACTTATATTTCTTATTTTACTTAGCACTTATATAACAGTAGAAAACCATCATGTTAGCTTCAACACTATAAGTAGTAGGCCTATTTGTCTTCTCTTAAGACTCCATTCATAGAAAACTCACTGCATCAACAACAAGACAACACCATACAGAAATAAGACATTCAAGATACATCATTAACATACATGTAACACAAGGGACATAACAATAATAACTAACAAGACAAGAAAACTATAACCAATTGCAGCAGCTTTAGTCTTTCTTACCTTCAAATTTAAAATGTGTATGCTGTATAACTGTTTGGCTAATTTTCAAGCATTAGAAACTGAAAGTTGTGAGTGTTAAGGATTCATGGTAAATCTCCTGACTGGATTTTATAATGACTAGTTGAAATATTTTTCTGAAAAAGTATTTTATGACAAACATTACATTCATAAGGCTTTTTTTTCTGCATGAACTATTTTATGTTTATTCAAACTAGATTTTTGAGAAAATCTATTATGACAAAGTTCACATTCATAAGGCTTTTCTCCTGTATGAACTCTTCTGTGTGAACTTAAATTAGAATTTTGAGAAAACCTTTTATGACAAACATCAGATTCATATGGCTTTTCTCCTGAATGAACCCTTTTGTGTTTATGTAAACTACAGCTGTGTGCAAACTTTTTATGACATACTTCACATTCATATGGCTTATCTCCTGGATGAAAATTTATATTCTCTCTTACATATGAATGAATTCTTTTATGTTTACTTAAAGTATCATTGCGAAAAAATGCTTTATGGCAAACATCACATTTATGTGGCTTTTCTCCTGAATGAATTCTTTTGTGTCTACTAAAATGAGACTTGAGTGAGAATGTTTTCTGACAAACATCACATTCATATGGCTTATCTCCTGGATGATAATTTGTATTCTTTCTTACATATGAATGAATTCTTTTATGTTTACTTAAACTATAATTGCGAGAAAATGCTTTATGGCAAACATCACATTTATGTGGCTTTTCTCCTGAATGAATTCTTTTGTGTCTACTAAAATGAGAGTTGTGTGAGAATGTTTTCTGACAAACATCACATTCATATTGCCTTTCTCCTGTATGAATTCTTTTGTGTTTACTTAAAGTAGAACTTTTAGTATACCTTTTATGACAAACATAACATGAATATGGCTTATCTCCTGAATGAATATTTTTGTGAAGTAATAAATTTATCTTCTGACTAAACTTTTTATGACAAACATCACATTTATGTGGTTTTTCTCCTGAATGAACTTTTTTATGATTACTTAAATTACAGCCTCTAGAAAATCTTTTGTGACAAACATCACATTCATGAGGCTTTTCCCCTGTATGAGCTTTTTTATGTATACTTAAACCAGATCTGTGTGCATACCTTTTATGACAAATACCACATTCATATTGCTTGTCTAATACCAAGTTAACTTTTTTCGTCGATAAATCTGGTTTTAAAGTTCTGCTAGTTGCTAATTCTAGTTCTGTATCTTTAGAAGTGGAAAATACTGATTCACCAGTTGAAAATGCTGTTGTAACACCAGGTTTTACATCTTGAGAAGTTGTAAATGTAATGTTTTTTACATCATCAAAAGATGAAAAGGTTGATAATTCTGTTTTAATGGTATCTGTATATGAAAATTCAGGTGTAACATCAGGTTTAACATCTTGAGGAGTTGTAAATGTAATGTTTTTTACATCATCAAAAGATGAAAAGGTTGATAATTCTGTTTTAATGGTATCTGTATATGAAAATTCAGGCATAACATCAGGTTTAACATCTTGAGAAGTTATAAGTGTCATGTTGGGTTTAACATCATCAAAATATGAAAATGTTAATTCTGTTTTTGTGTCTTTAAAAGATAAAGTATCTGGCATAACATCAGGTTTAACATCTTGAGAAGATGTAAATGTAATGTTTTTCACATCATCAAAAGATGAAAAGGTTGATAATTCTGTTTTAATGATATCTGTATATGAAAATTCAGGCATAACATCAGGTTTAACATCTTGAGAAGTTATAAATGTCATGTTGGGTTTAACTTCATCAAAAGATGAAAATGTAAATTCTGTTTTTGTGTCTTTAGAAGCTGAAAATTCTGGAATGACATCATGTGTAACCGCTTGATAAGTTAAAAAAGGCATGTTGGGTTTTATATCATGGGAAGTCAAAAATGTTAATTCTGTTTTTATGCCATCAGAAGATGAAATTAATTTTAATAGATCTTGTTTCAAATCTTCAGAAGTTGAAAATTCTGTTGATTCATTTGAACTGCTATCTACTACAGTTGAAATGGCAGCTAAATCATCTGTTTCCTTCTCCATGCTGCTCTGCTACTTATAATTGAACTACTGATTTAAAAAACAATTTAAAATGTTAAAGTTGTGATTATATAGCTAAAACAACATGTTAATAGTAAAATAACAGAAATTTTGGCAGATACCAGAAGTTCTATTAATCTGTTTACTTAGTAAGATGTGATTTAAAAATAAATATTGAGAATTTCCAAAGCTATAAACAGACCAGGAGCTGTCAATTTTTAAATATACTTTAAAAAAATGTAATACATAATTCATTATAATAATAATATATGATGGTGTATTTATATTATTTATTATGAATTAAATTATTGTTAAAATATTTCATTGTTTAGTGTGCATTATTTAAATAATAAAAGAACCAAATGATTTTTGAATTGGTTAGTACACAAATGTATGATACAGAATAAATATAGTACATATGATGTCAATAATCTAAAAATTAACTATTATTTTATGGGGAGGGGTGGGGGTCAAATTTTTAAAAAGAGAATCAATAGGTCTATATTTACATTGTAAACAATTGATCAGTATGTGAAGTGAAGTGACCAGCTTGTGATGTAGGTGAGCATTTTTACTTTCTTGTATATACGAAGTATTGAGAAAGTCTTGTAATCATGCAAAAAAAAAATCACTGATACGGAAAAACATAATTTTGCAATCTTGTCCGTATGTCTGTGTGTGTCTGTGTGTAAACACGATAACTTGAGTACCATTACAGCTAGGTTGATGAAATTTCTTAAATAAGTATTTTATAAAAATCGTAGATCCATATCAACTTTTGAACGATTTCCGATAACCGGAAGTAGTACTTTTTCTACTTTGAATTTTTCAAAATCCTATAACTTGAGTACTATTTCAGATAGATAAATGAAATTTCATATGTAAGTAAAAGATCTAATTCTCTACCTTCTGTCAAATTTTTAGTAATTTCCGTTGACCGGAAGTACTAATTTACTCTATTTCCGATTTCTCAAAAAACTCATGTAAATTTATAAAGTACTAATAATATTGCGCACTAATATGCACATTTTGTTTTACATTTTGAAATATTACAATTTGCTTGGTTTATGGTGGGGGGGGGGGGGGGTGGGGGGGGGGGTGGGGGGGGGGGGAGTGACCAAAGAGGATCTCTAACAGCAATCGTTCATGCTAAGACAAATGCTATAGGCCTGCTAAACTCACGATAAACCTTTGATCATGTTAGGATTTTTCTCCAGGGATAGTAAACGTAAGCAAGCAATCACGCCAGTGGCGATATTTGGAGATTTTATTTTTAAAAAAATCACACGTCATGTTTTCAATATGTAAAAAAAAATGAAATGTAAAAAAAGCCTCGGAGCTCCACGTCTATGAAATTCAGCTTCCACACTGTTGACTCAATATAATGTGAATTGAGTGTAAAATGTATTTGTATTTATAGACTATCATATTATTTTAAGCATATTTAAAATTAGAATTTGAAATAAAAATATTAACTATGGTCATTTGATGTATGCAAGTGTTCATTATTTCATAAAATGGTATGAATAACACGTAGAGTAGAATTTGTAATGTATATTTTCCTTCACCAATTTAATAAATAACTAGATCTAGTTTTATTATCAACCAGTTGAAAATGATGCTCGTGTAAAAAAATTTTTTTTAACTGAATCTAGGCCTAGCTATAAAAAAAAATTACGCTAAAAATGCCCGTAAACAAATTATAGCACCAAAAAATTATAGACGTTGACGTGGTTAACCACTGGTCACGAATGCAGCATCTGTCGGCCCACAGTGAAGAAAAAATCAATAAACTAATAAAATTACTAATACAATAATAATGTCCATAATTTTACTTTTTCCGCACATGCTACAACAATTGAATTATAATTAAAATACTAGACTTAACAGTTCATTCCGTAAAAAAAAACACTAGTTGTTTCTTTCAGGCAACTAGCGTAACAATGACGTCATGATACTAAAATAGCAGATAGAAATGTCCGTGTGGGTACCTCATTTATGAATAAGATTTTGGAAACCAGAAACAATAATACTGTAAATATACATGTTAGGCCTAGGCCTAAATATCTCAATTATAAATTAATTTAGCGGTATACGTGCCGTTTTTGGCCGCGGTTCAGTTTTTACGAAGAGTGCTCCACTAGAAATCCTCCCATTATTAATCTTATTAATGATTATTTACAACCACAATTCTTGCGATTTTTTTCTGGCATATTTATTATCCATTTTATTAGCATCTTGAGGTAACTTTTTCGTACAAATAGCCGCGGGCGATTTTACGTACCCAAAACGATAGATTACCTACTTATAAATTGAGATTAGTGCACAGCTAATGATGAGGTTCATTCAGACGCCATCGTGCTCCATTTTCATACAAATTATATAATTTTAAAGTTTTTTTACTTTCCCAAATAAAGAGTGGGCCTAAAAAGAGGAAGAGTAAAATAAAACGGCAACGACCTCCCTTAAAACTTTCTAAACTGTGACAATGCTCCTAGATCTATGTCAAACTGTTCGTAGATCAATATTAATTATATAATGCAAAGCTATTTTCTTTATTGAAATTACTTAAATACTATTAAGATTAATCCGCTCCAGCCCCCGTTTTTTATGGAAAGCATAAATATTATACACAACAAATGTTTATTAATAATTGTAATATTTATTGGGGGGTCATCCATAAATGACGTCACGCTTTTTGGACGATTTTTACCTCCCCTCCCCTCCATCACACGTCGTCTCAAAAAGCCAGACCCCCCCCCTAAAATGACGTCACACATCAACCTACAACCCCCCCCCCTCAAAATTGCAGTCGAATTTTTTACAACATCAATATTTTTCTATAATCTTGTCTAAACTATTACAATGTATTAAAACAGTTATCTAAAACTCGAAATAACGTCTAGAATTCGTTTTCTAACATTGCTTTTTATAATGCAAAAGTGTGACGTCGCACCATCTGAACCCCCCCCCCTCAGCACACATCGTCACAAAATTACTGACCCCCCCCCCCTCCCCCCTACAAGTGTGACGTCATTTATGGATGACCCCTTATACAGTAATATACAGGCCTATGGTGGGGGGCGGGGCACTAGATATTTTCGGGGGAAGGGGGCGGTAGACTTTCTTCTGGAGGGAGGGGTGGACACTGTTAAAAGTATATATTTTATATATTAATTTCATTTCGTTCGGAGGGGGGGGGGGGGGCGGTAGACTTTCTTCGGGGAGGGGGGGGGGGCAGAGCCCCCTGAAAGATGCCTGGAAGAAACTCTGGCTGGTGGTGGTGGCGGTGTAAGCCCAGTTTGGTGGAGGAGATAGGACAGGGTTTCACTTCGTTCATTTACTCACTTTTAATGCTTAGCTCTTGCATTCACTTTTCTTTACTTGATCTAACTTTTAATCAGTGACGTGCAGAGGGGTGAGAAGGGGGGGGGGGGCTGGGCACAGGCCCCGGGCATCCACCACTGGGGGGGGGGGGCATCCAGAGGTGGGTGGAAATTTTTAAAAATTCTTTATTTTTTGTATGTGTTTCAAAAGTTTCTCTATATCTAATCTGGGTTTCTCTTTCGTTTAAGTTTTAAGTCATGCCAAATTTAATTTTAGCTTGGCAACCACCGAATTGTGGTGTTAGAGGTTTGAAGATTTGTGTGCTATTCTAGGAACTGTAATTATTTATAAAAAAAATAAAGTGTTGTAATCCCGAACCTGCAGACAAAATATGGATCGTTTATGAACTGGAAAAGCCAGTCCCAAATCAGGTGTGCATAGCCTAGCGGCTCAGTTCCTATGCTGGAACAAAAAACATAGACTAGTGATAAGCATTTTGGCGCTGTGAGTAGGGATTGAACAGAACATCATGTCTTATTTTATAATTAGCAGAAAAATATTATAAGTACAAGTTTAAAACTCCAATTTGGAGTCCAAATGTTAACTTTGTCTCCACAGACCAAACATGATTTTGTTGTCTTGACATTGACCATTAACAACCTGGCATGTTAGAACAACACCAAAGGATAAAATACACCCCAGCATTCAACACAAATTGCTCTCATTTAAATTAATGTTAAAATACATATAGTGATGTCGGTAGAACAAAAACATACAAACTGTTTAAGTTTTCAGTAATTCTAATTGTTTTCATTTTACAATTCCTTAACTATTCAATACATTTGAATTTACATTACAATGTTTTTAAGAGTGAAGAATACAAAAATAAAAAGGAAGCATAAAATGTAGCCCGTCAAGTGAATAACCTTTTATATTGAAACAAATATCAGTTCATGTTTTAATTCCTAAATGAATTTTTTTATGTCTGGTTAAACTACCTTTGTGAAAAAAATGTTATGACAAACATCACATTCATGTGGTTGAGCACCTGAATGAACTTTTTTATGTGTAGTTAGGGTAGAACTTTTAGCAAACATTTTAATAATTTTATGACAAACATCACATTCATATGGCTTTTCTCCTGAATGAGCCCTTTTGTGTATACAAAAACTAGAACTGTGTGCAAACTTTTTATCACAAATAGCACACTCAAATGGCTTATCTCCAGAATGATTATTTTTGTGAAGCAATAAATCTTTCCTTTGAACAAACTTTATGTGACAAACCTCACATTTATGTGGCTTCTCTCCTGAATGAACTTTTTTATGGTCTTTTACATAATGAATTTGAGCAAACCTTTTATGACATCACATTCATATGGCTTTTCTCCTGAATAAATCCTTTTGTGTGTATGTAAACTAGAAATGTGTGTAAACATTTTACAACAAATAGTACATTCAAATGGCTTATCTTCAGAATGAATAGTTTGTGTAGTAGTAAAACTTTCTTTTGGGCAAACTTGATATTTTAAATTGTTTTGATCACTGATTCTTATTTTAAATCAATTATCTGTTATATTTTGTAAAATTTGACTAAAATATACTTATTTAAACAAATATATTCATCAGTTAACTCTCCCGCACATTACTAATGCAGCCGAATTGATTAGGGCCTACGCTCAAACCTACCTTGTGGCACTTTGTTCATAGATTTCATAAAGCCTTTGATTCTATTGGTCACACTATACTTCTAAAAAATAACTCCATACACATTTAGTTCCTTTAAACATACTTGTATAAATTTATATAATAGTAACAGTTTGGATTGTGCACTTTTTGTGTAGTCTGGCAATAGAAATTTATGACAAAACCATCAATTTTTTTTAGAAAACTGGCTCAAGACTGCATGACATCCCTAAGTCAATCTTTTTTTTTTTTAATTTTAATTTACTTATAGTTGGTAAAAAAATAAAATAAGCATTTGAAATGTTTCCTTTGTAATGAGAGTCCTAACAAGCATAAGTTGTCTGACACTGACCTTCACCTACCAGGCAGGTACAGGCTTTGGAGCAATACAAGAGAGTAAAATACACCCCAGCATTCAAAACACATTGGCCTCATTGGAATTTATGTTAACATACAAGAAGTGTTGTTAGAAAAACAATAATAATAAAAATTTATTTACACTTTAGCCATTTTATTTCTTAAAATTTTCAAGTTACAATTACCAATGATTCACTACATTATAATTTACATTATAAGGCTTTTTTTTTAATAGTAAGGAATATAAAATTAAAACACAATGAAAATTCACATGTTGAAACTAATATACCAAAATGTAACAATTGCAGCTTTAGTCTTTCTTTTCTTCAAATTTATAATTTTTATGCTGTTTTTGTAAAAATTAAATATTAATTTATGACATTGAGATGTGTGTTTAATCTGTAAATTCTAAAGCCTATATGAATATGTGAAAAAAACTATTTTAAAACACATTGCATGTAGAGAGGTGTCTGATATTTGGCATGAAGTTCATATTGAGAAGGACTGCAGAAAGATAAAAATATATATATATATATATATATATATATATATATATATATATATATATATATATATATATATATAACATGTTACAAATGCGTTTAATTTAATACAATTTAAAAAACATACATCTAGCAAAAGTAAGGAAGTGACCATAAGCCTTAGCAATGGTTGGAACAACATGAAACTTGGGGTTAGTTCCATAAGACATGTAAATAGTGGGGAGGGAGAGGAAGTTTTTACATATGGTCTGTTTGAGTTATACATTGCAGCCTGTAGAGTTTAATCATATGATTTGAGATTTTATATTTCTCAACATAATTATTAATGACATTCAGCAAATGATGAAAAAGTTAAAAAAAAATAATGTCTGCGCAGAAGTTTTGATGTTACTGAACCTGTTGGCTAGAAGCCAGATGTTGATCAGAATTGTTAAACTTCCTTGTCCGAACAAATATACATTGTCAATTTTATGAAATTTGAAAAAAAATAGACAAATTAACTGTGTGGCCTGAGCAAAACCATGGGGGTATAAAAATAAATAAACCAGCAGTTATCTCCCCTAAACTTTCTCAAATATTCTTATATAACACCCCAGGTTCTTCATTTATCCATCTGAAATAGCACTTAAGTTATAGGCTTTTAAAAAATTGAAAGTAGAAAAAGTTCCATTTCCGGTTATCGGAAATCGTTGAAATTTGATACAATACTTATATTTGAAGTTTCATCAACCTAGCTGTAACGGTACTCAAGTTGTGCTTACACACACACACAGTTGTAAAACATTAAAATTTAAAAAAATCGAGATTTTTTTTTGCACGATTACAATACTTTCTCTATACTTTGTATATGAGAAAGTAAAAAATCAAAGGCTGCGGCTATTGTACTTCACTACAAATAGCCCTATGAGGGCTATTCGTACTCAACCAATCAGTGTGAGGCATATTTCTGTTATTCTTAAATTCCCTTATTCTTGCTATGTAGAACTAATTTTGATCTAACGTCATCACTAACCCTGAACCCAACTCTAACCCTACCCTAATCCTCATCCTTAATGCCCAACCCTATACTTTAAGTAAAATAAAAAAAATAAAAAAAACAATCTTTGAGCCAAAAGGAAAATAAACACACGCCTTGAAAATGGCCGATGTATAACCACTTCGATCACCCAAACAGTTCCAATATAAGGTTAAAAAGTCAAATTTAAAAATAAATATGACTGGTTGGCTGAAAAAAGTGAAGTACAAATAGCCTTCTGAGAGCTATTGGTAGTAAAGTACCTATAGTCACTCCCAAAATAAAACCCTGGTTTTCTAAAGTTATAGCTTACTTCTCCTATCACACATATTTACAAATAACACAAAATGAAGCAAGCTACATAAAGAAAAAAACAGGGAGTGATCTCCCCTAAACTTTCTCGGATATTGTTTTATAACACTACGGGGGAGAACAACTCGTGATATAGGGCCTAGACAATATTTTAAATACTTAAACTTTTTAAAATAGAATAAAATCTAGCAGAAAAAAGAATTGCGTACCAAGTGAATGCCCAAAAATCTGTGTATAATTAAAATAATTGTCCGGAATATTATTAGTTCTTAAAGAATTCACCTGTGTTTTTTGAGAAATTGGAAATAGCGTAAGTTACTACTTCCTGTCAATGGAAATTACTCAAATTTTGATAGAAGGCAGAGAAATAGATCTTTTACTTAGGTGAACTTTCATTTATCTATCTGAAATAGTACTCAAGTTATAGGCTTTTGAAAAATTGAAAGTAGATTAATTGCCACAAAGTGTTTACCGGAAATCGCTGAAACGTTGATACAGAACTACAAATTTGATATAATACTTATTTATGAAATTTCATCAACCTAGCTGTAACAGTACTCAAGTTATCGTGTTCACAGACACACATACACAGACATACGGAAAAGTTTGTAAAATTATGTTTTTCAGACTCAGGAAGGCGTAAAACATCAAAATCTCGATTTTTTTTCATGATTACAATACTTTCTCTATACTTCGAAGTAACAATTGTACACATGCAGCTGACACAATAGAATACAATTTCTTTTTGCAGTATGTATAATAATTGTCAAAGTATAAATTTGACAAAAGAACCTTTTCATAATACAAATATTAAAATTAATAAACTATGGACCACTATTGGATGACCACTAGTTAAAGTTATGTGAAGAGAACAAATTATAACAAGAAATTCAATAATAATAATAATTAGCTGTAGAATTAATTATGTTAAAAATTTACATTAAATTGGTTTTAAGTCATGATGAATTTCTTTAGGACTATAATAATGTAAACTTAAAAGAAAACATTTCCTTACCGACATCACATTCCTCTGGCTATAAAACTATAAAGGGAATATTATTTTGAGAATTTAAATTAGATATTTGAGAAAATCTTTTGTTACAAACATCATGAAGACTATGACTTCGAGAAAATCTCTTATAACAAATACTGCATTTATATTATGTAGCTTGTCTACTTAATGAATTTTTTCATGAGCACTTAAAAACTTTGAGAAAATCTTGTATGGCCAACAACACATGCATATGGCTTATAACTTGTATGAACACTTATATGTTGTAATAAATTATTCTTTTTTCCTTGAATGAACCTTTTTATGTTTTCTTAAACCAGTACTATATTGAAATCTTTTAAGACAAACATTACACTTATATGGCTAATCTCCTAAATGAACATTTTTATGTTCTAATAGTCTTCTTTTCCTCAAAGTGTTTATGAAATACATCACATTCATTTACCTTTTCTCCTGAATAAGATTTTTTTTTATCGTAAGGGGACCATTCTTTATGACAAACATCACATTAATATGGCTTTTCTCCTAAATGAACATTTTTATGTTGTGATAGAACTTTCTTTTCCACAAAGCTTTTATGACATACATCGCATTCATGTGGCCTTTCTCCTGAATGAATCTTTTTATGCTTTCTTACATACCAACTTTGAGAAAACCTTTTATGACAAACATCACATTCATGTGGCTTTTTCTCCTGAATGAATCTTTTTATGCCTTCTTAAATGCCAACTTTGAGAAAACCTTTTATGACAAACATCACATTCATGTGGCTTTTCTCCTGAATGAGATTTTTTATGTCGTAACAGAACATCCTTTACTACAAAGTTTTTATGACAAACATCACATTCATGTGGCCTTTCTCCTGAATGAATCATTTTATGATTTCTTAAACTAGAACTATATAGAAATCTTTTAAGACAAACATTACATTTATATGGCTTATCTCCTAAATGAACATTTTTATGTTGCAATAGACTATTCTTTTCCGTAAATTTTTTATGACATACATCACATTCATGTGCCTTTTCTCCTGAATGAATTTTTTTATGTCTTCTTAAACTAAAACTGTAAGTAAATCTTTTAAGACAAACATTACATTTATATGGCTTATCTCCTGAATGAACATTTTTATGTTGCAATAGATAATTCTTTATCGCAAAGTTTTTATGACATACATCACATTCATATGCCTTTTCTCCAGAATGAATTTTTTCATGTCTTCTTAAAGTGGAACTTTGAGAAAACCTGTTATGACAAACATCACATTCATATGGCTTTTCTCCTGAATGAATATTTTTGTGTGTATGTAAATTAGAACTGTGTGTAAACCTTTTATGACATACATCACATTCATATGCCTTTTCACCTGAATGAAGCTTTTTATGTCTTTTTAAATGAGAACTATGAGAAAACCTGTTATGACAAACATCACATTCATGTGGCTTTTCTCCTGAATGAATATTTTTGTGTGTATGTAAACTAGAACTATGTGTAAACCTTTTATGACAAACATCACATTCATATGACTTATCTCCTGAGTGCTCTTTTATATGTGTATATAATCTACATCGATAAGAGAACCTTTTATTACAAACATCACATATATATGGATTATCTCTTGAGTACACTTTTTTATTTTTACTGAAATTACAACTTTGAGAAAGATTCTCATGGTCACCATCATATTCAACTTGCTCATTTCCTTCTTGAGCTGTTTTATCTTTTATTAAGTTAGAACTTTGAGAAAACCTTTTGTGTTTGACACTAGAAACAATCTGATATCTTTTGTCTCTAGAAAACTGGAGATTTTCTTTAACTTGAAGTTCAAGCCCTTTTTGTTGTTTATCCTCAAAAAATAAAAATCCTGTCAATAATTCTGGTTTTGAATCTTTACTACTTGATAAAGTTGTGACTTCTGATTTATTATCTTCAGCTGCTGATAATGTTGATACAGCAGGCTTTTTATCTTTACAAATTAAAAACTCAGTTGTAACATCAGGTTTAACATCTTGCAAGCTTATAATTGTTTTGTTGTGTGTAAATTCATCAAAAGATGAAAAATTTGAAAATTCTGTTTCTGTGTCTTTAGAAGATGAAAATTCTGTTGTAGTATAGGGTTTATCATCTTGAGAAGCTGTGAATGTCATGTTGGGTTTTGCATCAACAATAGATGAAAATGTTGTAAATTCTGTTTTTATGTCTTGAGAAGATGAAAATATTGTGGATAGATCTGGTTTCAAATCTTCAGAGTTTAAAAATTCTGTTAATTTGTATGACTGTTCATCTACAATAGATAAAATTGCAGCTAAATGTTCTGTTTCCTCTTCCATTCTTGATTGCTTTTTATAAATCAGCTGATGATTGAAAATGTAATAAATGTTAAAGTAAAAAGTGGTGATTATAAAGTCAGAATAAAGTATTATTATTAAAATGGGAAAATTAATGGCAGAAGGTCTGTTAATCTTTTCTCTCAGTCTGATGTGATCTAAAAATAGATTGCCAATAATGCCAAGACTATCATTAGATTAGGACAGCATATTAATATTCTTTAGATATTCTTAAAAAACACAAATTTGTAATCCAGTACTACTTATTTTGGCTAACGATTGAGGAATTACCAAATGTGCTTAGATCCTCTCACATCCAGTCGAGGTTTTATATATATATTGTCACTTGGTTGACAGGAAATAAGAACAGTGTTTATTTCTTTAAAAGGATTTGAGAAGATATTGCATATTTCTTCTACCATAAAACTTAATTGGCAGATAAAAACAATGACACATTTTATATGTCAAAAGATACTTATTTAGTTAATTCTGCTAAAATTCTTTGTATTTGTATTGAAATTCTTTTTATTAATATTATTGTCTTAGACTAATTCTAGCCCTGACCTTTTAACCTAGCCTTTTAACCCTCATCCTAATCCTTGACCCTAACTCAAGTAAGATAGAATGCATTTAAGAAATATAATATTAATGTCATGAGCACTAATAAAAAAACAACTCAAAACAGGTTTCAAGTGCAAAACCCATACTTGATATTACTTCACACTAGAGATTCTACCATGCAGTGCTCGAAATAATTAGTAAAAATTAATAATATATTAAATTAAACAAACATCTCTTGAAATTTTAAAATATAGGCCAACACTTCCATTCAAAAATTCTAAAAATATGTAAGCCTACAAATAGAAGCTAAATATATCCAGAAGATGTGAGAGGATATAAGAATGATGCATTTTCTCTATTGTTGGTGGCTATAAGTATTTCCATATCAAGAAAATTAAATGTATTTTCTCATTAGTTCCCCATTTTAACGACCATAGATGATTCTTCTAGGCCTATAAGTTATCAAAAAAATGTTGCTGCCACAAAATATTGTCTACATTTAGTGACTTTTCCAATGTCATTGTAAGCTTGGAACATGTTTGCAAAAAAAATGATTCTGAAATTTAACTATTTACATTCAACTATAGGGCTAGTAAGTAGATCTAGTAAGAAGAAAATTTTTATTAAATAAAAAATAATTTTTAAAAATATAATAAATCTGCGGTTACTTTAAATATAAAAAAGAATTACTTTCTTTAAAAAAATTAATGCACTACTATTTATATCACTTTAAATAAAAGCGAGGGCTGCTATAAAAATAAGTATTTAAACAAGTGGCCCATGCTTTTATTTATAGTGATATAAATAGTAGTGCATTAATGTATTTAAAGAAAGTAATTTTTTTATGTTTAAAGTAACAGCAGATTTATTATATTTTTAAAAATTATTTTCTATTAAATAAAAATTGTATTATTTTCTTCTATTTACTGCATTTTTAAAAGCTTGTAATTATAAATGTTTTTATGTATTTATTATTATATATATGACTGGGAATAGGCCTAATATTATACAATAACAAAAATATTTATTGTGACTGGGGAGTGAAGTATAAATTTTGAGAGCAGTGCAATTTTTATTGTGTTTTAGTTTTATAAAAAAATTATTAGTTTAGCCTTTGGTTCATATCTAGTATGTAGTACTTAGGTCTTAGTCTCATTAATCAATTATACACTCTAACTAAATCTATACTAATCAATCAGGGATTTCTATCTGCAAATATGTCAGCAATCATGTCACAAACAGAAAAAAAAATAATTGAAAATAATAACCCCTTCATTAACGATTGCAAAAAAATATGATTTGGACAACAGGTGGTCTACATCACATGCCATCATTGAAAAAGTATTTGTTGGGTTCAAACCCACACTATCTGGCACAGTAACCAACCACATGTCCACTGGACCACACAGCTTGTTGAACAGTTGGGAATTTTTAACATTATATATGTATCAAACAAAACAGTCACGACTAGGAATAGCCCTGATGTAATAGATTGAGTTAATTGTGAGGTCAAGGGAACTCACTCTCTGTATTAGTTATATTTATAGTATTGTTATCTTGAGTGATGTCCCTTGTGTACTTCCTTCCGTCCTCTCTGTGTATTACCATCGTGATGTAGTTAGACCAATAAATGTGTTATATACAACCACAGGCTTCTGTCGTCAATCTATTATAACTGGCGACGAAGGATAAACATCTACTAGAAAGAGCACCTACTTACGCAAAAAAGAGGTTTGCTAGAGCTTATTAGCTAATTATTTCTAGAATTATGGCGCTGTATGGCCAAATAAAAGAATTTGATGCGAATGATGAAATCATTCAAGATTACCTAGAGAGGTTAAGCTTTTACCTAGAAGCTAACGACGTGACGATAGAAGCCAAAAAGAGAGCTATTTTGTTAACAGTCATAGGGCCTCAACAATTCAGGCTACTAAAGGACTTATGCGCACCAGCTAGTCCAGATACCAAGAGCTTTAACGAGCTGAGCAAATTGCTAACAGACCACCATGCGCCTACCCCATCAAAGTTTTTATGTAGAGCTAGATTTGACAGTAGGACTCGTCAACCAAACGAGTCAATATCAGAATATGTTGCTGCTTTACGTCATTTAAGTGAATTTTGTGAATTTGGAGAAACGCTGTCTGACAGACTGTGTGAAAAGTTTGTGACAGGTGTAAACAGCCCTGATATTCAAAGAAAGTTGCTGCTCGAGTCAGATCTAAAATTGGAAAAAGCAATACAACTTGCAATGTCATTCCAGCAGTCATCAGATGCGGCGAGATCTTTAGCACCTTCAGAGATCCATGCAGTAAACAGCAGGTTAGTCAATAAACATCAACCCCATCAGAGCATTCCAACTTATGCTAAACAGCCTGCTCGTTCAAATCCTAGATCTAAATCTAGTAATAATTATCAAAAATGTCATCGATGCAAAGGTCCCCATGCATCTCATCGGTGCAAGTTCAAGTTAGCAACTTGTTATAAGTGCGGTAAGCAAGGTCACATTGCCAAGGCCTGCTTTGCAAAGTCTTCGTCTGTTGCTAAATCTAGCCAGTCAAGACAGTACCGCAACCAAAAGCAGCACTATGTTAACTCTCACCAAGACTACCTAACCCAACCAATGAACCACTCTACCTGTGAAAATGCTCAAATTGATTTGCAGCCGGATTTCAACCTGTTCTCTGTTAAATCAATAAGTCATGCTCCCATCAATGTACAAGTTAATATCAACGGTAAGAGCATCAGCTTCCAACTTGACACTGGAGCATCTCTAACAGTCATAACAAAGAAAGATTTTGACGCTGTCACAGAAGGATCAGTGTCTCTACAGCCGTGTCACAAGTGTCTAACAACATACACTGGTGACAATGTTCCGGTAATAGGAGAGTGTATGGTTCATGTAAGTTATAATGGTCAAAGTGTTAAACTTCCTCTTCTTGTGGTTGAAGGAAATGGACCGCCATTACTAGGTAGGAACTGGTTAAGTGATCTTAAGTTAAATTGGGAGAGTATTTGTTCATTGAAGAATGTAAAAGAATCTAGTCTTACTTCACTAGATAAAGTAATATCTGAAAATAAATGTGTTTTTGGTAATCATGGATTACTAAATGATAGAACAGTGAAGTTAAGCATTAAAGACACAAATCCAAGATACTGCAAAGCTAGAGTTCCACCTTATGCAATGAGGAATAAAATTGAAAATGAGCTAAGTAGATTGGAATCTAATGGCATCATAAAGAAGGTAGACTATTCCGATTGGGCGTCACCCATTGTGCCAGTGTTAAAGAAGGATGGTTCTATAAGAATTTGTGGAGATTATAAAACTACACTGAATAAGCAAATAGAGCTAAATAGGTACCCTATTCCTAACATTGAGGAAATTTCTTTGAATTTGGCAGGAGGAGACAAATTCACTGAATTAGACTTTAGTCATGCTTACACTCAACTAGAACTGCATCCAGATTCAAAAGTCTATACGACAATAAACACACATAAAGGACTCTACCAATATGAAAGACTATGTTTTGGCATATCATCTAGCCCTGGAATTTTCCAAGCTGTCATGGACAGTATTTTTAAGGATATTCCAAATGTTTGTGTGTACTTTGACAATGTGTACATAACTGGTAAGAATGACACTGAACATCTTAAAACACTTGATAAAGTCTTGGAAATTGTTGGTGAAAAAGGTTTAAAGATAAACAAAGATAAATGTCAATTCATGTTGACAGAAATTAGTTTTCTTGGTTATATATTGAGCAAACAAGGCATCAGACCTCAACCTGAGAAAACAAAAGCCATTAAAGAAGCACCCAAACCTGAAAATACCCAACAACTAAGAGCTTTTTTGGGCTTGATAAATTACTATGCAAAGTTCAAAGGAAATCTGTCTGGTAAACTATCACCACTGTACAAGCTGCTACAGAAAAATGCAACTTGGCACTGGGGTAAACAACAAGAAGCTGCTTTTAATACAGCAAAAGAGGCTTTGTCTGCTGACACCTTACTAACTCACTATGACCCAGGGAAAAGACTTATATTAACATGTGATGCTTCACCAGATGGTGTAGGAGCAGTCTTGTCCCACATGGATGAGAAGGGTGACAGACCCATTGCTTTTGCCAGTAGATCTTTGAACCAGGCTGAGAAAAATTATTCTCAGTTAGATAGGGAAGGCTTAGGCATCATTTTTGGTGTTAAGAAATTTCATAAGTTTCTGTTTGGTAGGAAGTTCACCATCTTTACAGATCATAAACCATTGCTAGGTTTATTTGGAGAAAACAAAACCCTACCTGAGCATGCCTCACCAAGAATTCAAAGATGGGCTATCACACTAACTGCATACAATTATGAATTGAAATACAAACCTGGATCTGAGAATAGTGCAGATAGTCTTAGTAGATTACCTTTAAAAAACCAAAGCCTGAGCTATGTACCAGAAGATGTATTTGTTCTCTTCACTATCA